GAGCGAAATGGAGACTGTCATGCAAAAGAACATTGTCGTCCACAACGAGAACCGCAACTTAGAAGACTCGATGGCCGAGATGGAGAAGGAGTTGGTCGATGTCAAGATGCAATGGGCTACAGTAAGTTGCAACCCAGTTCGATGTTGGGCACTGCTAACCAGTCTTCTAGATCAACGAAGAGCACGAAGCGCTCAAGCAAAAGTGGAACAACATTTCGCAGATGATGAAGTAAGCCCGATAGTGGGCTCATTTTTGCATCAAAGGCATCGGGTTGACTTGCATACAGCACGCAAGCGCCGCCACCCGTTGGGGATCAGATCTATTCTGTCGCGTCGATCGCCCCTTAATTCGTTTCTAATGTCTATATACATGTCCGCCCCGCACGATACTACTTCTTGCGGGGCCTTGTTGCGCGTTATGCTTTGGCATCATCAGTTTCGCATCACTATCTATACCTGTGGCTTGATGGGACGGGTGGAGATGCCTTCACTTGGATACGATCAGAATTGGACAGCTCGCATGGCATGGAAGCAAGGTGTTTAGGAAAGTGGCGATTGAATAAGCATACGTCTATCTCTATAGACTCATGGAAGGTGTTTCTCGCTATGTTTCGTTGGCTTGTAGTATCTTATGACGGAAGCCTAGTTTGTTAGATCATCAATAGAAGCACGAAATGATTTAGCAGGTATGCACATGCTTGCTGCCAGCGAATGTCATAATGCTACAAATATCGTTCGTGCAGCTTTCGACCTACTATCCTTGTCATTTGCTACTCAAGCCGTGGCCTTCCAAGCACAGCACATTATCAGTCCATGCCGCATCGGGAAGCCACAGTGAAGCACTAGTCTTCGCTTATCTTATCGTGAACCCTGCAGAAAAAGTTACCCAACCCCACAGTCCATTCTGCAACTCAGATCGACGTCGATACAATCACAATTCAAGATGGCCGAACAAGCAACAGAAGAAGATATCCTCCTCGCCAAGCGCATCATCTCGGCGGCAGAGCGTCACGACGTGCCGGCGTTGACCGTCCTGCTCAAGGATGGATCGGCAAACGTGCAAGACCCCACAGCAACAGTATCAACATCACCACTACACGCAGCAATCGCAGCATGCGGCAAGGCTGAAGATGGAAAGGAGGCTGGCGATGCCGCCATCCAAACGGTAGAGACTCTCCTCCAAAACGGCGCCATCTGGAACGACCTCAACAAGGAAGACGAAACACCAGGATGCATTGCCCTCCGCTTAGGCCAAAAGAAGATCTACGAGATGATGGTCGAAGCCGGTGTTCGCGCTGAGATCCTCTTCGCGCGCCTGGAAGCCCTCGGCATGGGCGACAACGACGTGGAGGAAGCATTCGAAGAAGACACCACCGAGCAACCCGCCGCTAAGAAGCAAAAAGTCTCCGCCGAAGACGCCAAAGCCGTGGAACAAGTCGTCGAAGAGAAGGTACTCGACGACGTCTCCCTAGACAACAAAGCATACCTGAAATCACAACTCCGCTACAAGCCGGGTATCCTGCTTGACGAATCCGACAACGCCGTCATGATGGACTGGGAAACGCAAATTATGCAACGCCACGCCGAGACTCTAATTCCCAAATCTGGTCTTCGCACTATGAACGTTGGCCATGGGATGGGTATCGTTGACACGGCGATCCTCACGCATGACCCCGCAGAACACCACATCATCGAAGCGCACCCGCAAGTGCACCAGCGGCTGCGTGAGCAAGGCTGGTACGACAAGCCCAATGTCAAGATTCACGAAGGGAGGTGGCAGGATATTCTGCCCAAGTTGGTGGAGCAGGGTGTTGTGCTAGATGCGATCTACTACGATACTTTTGCCGAGGATTACAAGGCGCTCAAGGAGTTTTTCGCGGAGTATGTGGTTGCGCTTTTGGCCAAGGACGGAAAGTTTGGGTGGTATAATGGTTTGGGGGCTGATCGCCAGATCTGCTATGATGTTTATACCAAGGTTGCTGAGATGGATCTGTATGAGGCGGGCTTTGATACGCAGTGGGAGGATATCGATGTGCCCAAGGGACTGCATGGGAGTGATCAGTGGGAGGGAACTAGAAGGCCGTACTGGACGATTGATGTTTACAGGTTGCCTGTCAACACTTTCGTTAAGTAGATGGCGGGTAGGATGAGAGTGGACACGTTTATTACACAGCACGTCAAGCCCTACGAGAACACGAACCAAAAGTACTGCAATGATGAATGACGCAATGAAGTGTATGTCTAGCAACTACCTTATTGTCTTCATCCCTGCGATCCAACACTGTCCCACAGTCGGCCTGGTCGTGCACCGACGCACAATATCAAACCCAGAAACAGCAATGCCCTTACTTCATGCAAGGAAAACGTTGAACAACCTGGAACCTAGGTTGACCTTAGGTCTTCTACTTTGCCCAACTATAACTCAGTGTAGTCTGCTGACCTGTTCAGGTTATATGTAGTATAACGTGGGTTGTTGTTCCTGGGGCGAATTCGCAGGCAACGATGTACATTATGTAGCCCTACTAAGCTCCGGGTGCGTCGTCGTTGACGGCTTCGTCGGAAGTGGGAGGCTGGCTGACTATGGCTGGGACATCTTGTTGGGCAGCTTCTTCGTTGGCCGGGACGACTTGGATGTTGGAGCCGGCGAAGTCATAGAATTCATTTTGGTCCGCGGGAAAAGCTCCTGCCACTTCTGGGGGGTTCTGGTCGTTTGGTATAGCACGGGTAATCTGCAATTCTCCGTTTGCATCGAGAATGTACCTTGGGTCATGGACTCCCGCTTCACCTGGCAGGAAGTCATCGACAGCGGGTCCATGTTCTGCGTTTATGTTCTCGTCGTCGCGCTCCGCGTCGTCTTCACCGTCATCTTCCCCCTCGTCTCCATCCTCACCATCGTCTTGCGGGTGTGGAGTCGGAGGCGGAGGATGAGGATTGAACTGATCGAACAAAATGCCCTGGTTTTCGAACAACTCGATGCGATGCTGATCCAAAGCGTCTTCGCGGGGCCCGTGAGGAAGCATATTGACAATAGCGCGTTGGTCAGGAGTCAGATGTTGCAGGACTTCCCACTCAGGATCATTTCGCGCATCACCTTCTTCCTCGTCATCTTCATCGTCATCATCAACCTGACGCTGCGCCTCGTCTAGTGCACGAGCACGTAGGATTTCTTGACGACGAGTGAGACCTTCACGACTGAGGCCACTATCACGGTGGAAGCCGTCCTGGTTGTATCCTTCTTCGTCGTACTCTGCGGGTCCGTATTGCGGGCAGCCGTGCATCCCAGGCCAGTTCTCACCGCAGATGTAACAGAACGAGTTGCCGCACTCGCAGGTAATATGATTGCATGCCTCGGCCAACTCCACAGTTGCGCCGCAAACGAAGCACTCTTGGTAGCCCTTCTCGTTCGCAGTCTGCTTGAACTTCTTGTCGTCCTCGTTCTGGTCGCACTTGTGGTTCTGGGTTCCCTGGTCGAGCAGCGTCCTGCACTTGACACAGGTCAACTTTCCGCACTCTTCGGCCTCGCAGATGGCATATGTGATTTTCGATTCGGGATCTTCGACGTGGTTTCCGGGGGGTAGGAACTTCGCGCAAGCTAGGTTTGCGCAGTATGTGCGGAATCTGTTCAAGTGTTAGCTTAATTCAAATATGTTACTCGCACGTCGACCCGTCCAGCTTTTTTCGTTTAGGACTTACTTTGCCAGGATTGTGTACTCGCCCTGCTGTTTCACCTGGTACGCCCAAGAAACCTCCCACGGCAGATAGTCCTCATATTCGTCTAACACAAACATAACATCGCAGCACTGCGGCGGGTATAGACTCTCGTTGTTTGTCGCATTCTCGAAAAAGCTAGCGAGATCGTCGGCGCAGACCAAATGGCGTTTGCATGGAGCTTCGATAAGTAGTTCGCTTTCGCTCTCCTCTGTGCCGCAGATGACACAGCTCTTAGACATGATGGCTGATGTGGTTGAGTATGGTGTGGATTCCTATCAGTTAAAGAGGGCTGCGAGGATGATCGTTCGTGGGTACGTCGCGCGCCGTGGTAGAGTGGTAGAGTGAGTTCGGTACCGGGCGAGAAATAGTTCAGGCGTGTGGAGATTGTGTAGAATTAAGGCAGCACGTAGTGTGCGAGGCGAGTGACTAATTCACAAGGGTAGGATTCACGCCCAAGGTGAAGTGAATGCCGACAGACTTGGACCCGACTAGCTAGCCCTGAATGCGGTGTGAAGGAAGCTTTGTACCTCTTCACATATCCTGATAAAACAACGACCGATCAGTTCGATCGCAGTTAATGACCGTTGCTTTGAAGACAGACGGCATCCACAAAATGGCAAAAAAAACCGGTTCCCTTGTTGCTGTATGGTATGATGTACGAGAGAAAGATGACGCGACAAAACATGCGCAAAATGGAAGCAAAATGTAGGTTGATGAATGCTAGCTGAAATACCAACAAAATCACAGCAGCTCACTGAGAAGACATATAAGGGAAGTGCATCCCGATATCAAAGCTCGAGATGCCCATAACGGGAATGCCAGGCAGCCATCGGCCGGGCGCAGGGGTCGACTCGCAAAGCCATGTGTGCAGCCTGGAAAAGACCCACACAGTGCGATGGCTGACTATCCAGGCAGATTCTATATAGGGAATGATGAAGAGTCCGAGGTGGCATCAGGAATGTGTGGTGAATGACAGGGTCCAGAAATCGTGACGCGACGTCACGTGGAATTTTAGCCGGCCTGATCGTGCACGGATGCACAACATCGAATCGAGAGACAGCGATGCCCTTACCTGTCTCCTTCCAACGCACAACGACACATCTACGCCACCTCATGTCTCGCACTACGATAACGTCGATTGATTTGCCGCGTCTTTATCATGATAAAAGTGGCCCATCGCTACATGCATCGACAAGTGGAGGATTTGGTAAGAGTTCATAAGTTCTTGAACTGAGAGAAGCCCAGGACGATAAGTTGTATGTACAAGAAGATTAAACTACGCGACACCCCTACGCACGGCACATGCGTCCGTCTTTGCTGACCTTCCAAGCCTCACTACCAACACCCTTGAGGATGTAGAGAACATCCTTAGGGTCGTACTTCTTCTTGATGTCCTTCAGCTTGTCATAGTTCTTGCCAAAGAAGGTCTCCTTCCAGTTCGGCTGCTGGAAATCTGCCTCATTAAGGTATGAGCCACTGCCCGGAGTAATGGCTTCAATCTTAGGCATGAGCTCGTTGGTCATCTTCTGCTGAGCTGCCTCCATGGTGGCCCAAGGAGCGGTGGAATCCCAGTTTGTGATAAGTTGCAGCTGGATCATGGCGTCTCTCCATGCGGGCAGTACGCCATTGTCGGCGACTCCAGCGGGCTTCTTGTAGTTTGCTGAGCTACCAGCAAGCAAGACGCCTTCTGCGGCAAGCTCTTGGTAGACCTTGACAAGGTCGGCGGTCTTGTTCTCGACCACAGTTCGGGGAATGAGACGGCCACCAAACTGGTATCGGTTGACTTCGTATGCGCCGCGTGGGAGAGGGCCCATGTAGCGATCGAAGTGGTCGCGGTAAGACAGCTCGCTGTAGACGATTGGGGGCGTGATGCCGAGATCTGTAAGAGCTTTGGCATAAGGCGCAAGCACCACGTCCTTGACGTAGGCAGCTGTTGAGTCCCAGACGGTGACGGGCTTGATCACAATGTACTGAGTGCTGACCAAGAAGACGACCATAGCACCAGCGTCGATCATCGCTGGCAAGAGCTCAATCAGCTTGGCAGTTGCTGCGGCGTACTTCTCGGGGGTGGTGGACGAGGCGAGAAGCTGCATAGCAGCACCACCAACCTGCTTGGCTGGGTATGCTCGTACAGTCAATGAGAGGACGATAGCATATGTGCCACCACCACCTCCGCTGAGAGCCCAGTAAAGGTCGGCGTTCTCGGTTGCTGAAGCAGTGAGCATCTTGCCCTCAGCAGTCACGACCTCGAAGGACAAGGTCTGATCAGCAGCAAGCCCGAACTCAGTGCTGAGCACCGAGTGTCCACCACCTTGGGTAAATCCTCCTGCTAGACCGACAGTAGCGCATTCACCAGACACAACACTCATGCCTTGCTTGTGCACTGCCTCGAGCAACTCGTTGCCCATCACTCCAGCGCCAACGGTGACCGACGGGCCAGTGTAGTGCTCATCGGACCAGTCGCCGAAGGCGATGTTCTTGAGACTTTGGGTCCAGATGGCTAGAGCGCCGGCTCCGGTAGATCTTCCAAGGAAATCATGCCCAGTGTTCCGCACAACCACACGAATTTTCTGAGCTTTGGCGAACTCAAGAGCAGAGACGACATCCTCAGCCTCGGTAGCTTTGACAGAGTACGAAACGTAGTTGCCCAGAGTGCACGGGATGCTCCTATCGGAGAATGGATCGCAGCTCTGATTGGCAAAGTACGACTGCATTATCGAGTGGGAAGACGGGGTGCTGCCAAGAGTATTAGAGTTCTACCCCAACATGTAAACGGAGCTCTTGCACTTACTGTATCAGCGGGTTGAGCCATGATGACTTCAATGCGTCGCAAGCGTCGGCATCGTATGTCGGATCGTGACACGGGGAGCCAATTGGGACAGTGGCTACGAGCTTCCCGTTCACGGTCGAGTTCAGTGTCGACCACGCGTTATCGGATGGCCAGTCGGCATCGCTTGGCAGACGGTAACAATCCTGGGCGCTTCCAAAGCGAGCAAGGAGTAGGGCTCCAAAGAGCGCAGCGTTGTCGATGAGCCTCATCTTGTCTTGAAAGTGCTTGATGGCAGTGATGAATACCAAGAGCCTTGTCCCGACCCTCATATATAGCCATTGTTCCCCTTACTATCGTTTTCGCATTGCCACATGCTATTCTTCTCATCTCGGAGACCATCTCAAAGAAGAAGACTTAGAATATGTCTGCTTCCTCTGTAGGTTACAACGCCGACAGAGTCCACTTGAGACATTGTGCCACATGCCGATATCAATGCAAGGAATAGCCATGCACTGGGCTGGAAGCCGGCGAAAACCTCGTGCGGGAATCGATGGCCGCACGCGAGAATGACTTACTGCAGGGCAGAGTGGGCCAACCGATGAATGGGGGATTCGCCGGGTGGCCTAACGCTTGGGGGTGGACCCTCAACGACGGATTGCTCGCTAGGATTGAGCTTCATGAAACCGTGGGATTCGTCCTCAGGCGACACAGTGTGGCGCCAGGAACCGGCGGGCGTGCAGATCTTGGCGGGCATTCGTCGTCTTGGAACGTTCGGAGGGAACCTCATTTCGGCAGCCGTGCAGCGAACGAGATGTCTAGGTGCGCACTGAGCAGCTGTTATCGCTCCACGTGCTCGCCCGCCTCCAGACCTCTGCCATTGCGCCATGCTCATCATCGCCCTTTCTGTCACATATTCGAAAGTCTAAAATTATCCTCCGTTGGTCATGGATGGTGGACGTTGTCGTTCAGGTTTTACCGTGGTTTTCGGTTGGCGTTTGTGGCGTTCGCAAGCCCATGACACACCGGACCGCACCCCACATTGCGCTGCACCGGCCTGAACAAGGCAAGACCCCTTTCTGGATGACATGCCGCCATCTCTGAAGGATGCTAGGTTCCGACCGTATATGCGCCAGCACTTCTTAACAAAGTTTGCGCTATTGGAATGCCATGGTCGGGTAGGCTTCTGCAGTCGGCACTTCATACCAATGACGGCAGCCACCATGGTAGCTACGACTCGTGGGTTTCAGTCCTGGGCCTTACAAGAGACGCACTATAAACCGCACGAGGGATCCCTGCGTTCATCATATTCGAGGATCACCTTCCGTTTAGAGGCGGAAGATAAATGGTGGAACCTGTCCCGCTGTCGCTTTACTTGAGACCTCCGCGATATCCTACGCACCCGTTACAAACTCGGGGGTCCGCCCATCTGTCTTCAACATTCGGATTGTCTTGCGCAAACGTGGCGTGAGAGCATCGACATGGCCTCTTTCATTCGCACATGCATGCTGTTGTGGCTCGTTACCATCTCCATGGTACATGCAGCACAGCAGCCAGCCCTGTCAAAGCTTCCCGCATGTGCTGTAAGTACCTTGCAGCCCAACTTCTTAACATTTCGCTCACCCTTGCAGCAACTGTGCCTCTTGAACGCTTTCAGTACGAACACCTGTTCTCCAACAGATCAAGCATGTATTTGCACGAACGATGTCTTCCAAAACAACGTAACGCTGTGTGTGAGCGCCAGCTGCACCATCCCTGAAGCTCTAGGTACTTGCACCTATCCCGACGGAAGAGAAAAAGAGGCTGACGAACATGAAGTTACGCGCAACATCAGCCTGACCACCTGCGGAGCCCCGGTACGGGATCGCGGACAAAGCTATGTGCTGTTGTCAAACGTCATGGTATGCATAGCTGCAGCCTTCGTTGCGATGCGTTTCACCTTCAAGGGCACCGTGTCGAGGATGGACTTTGGCTACGACGACTGGTGCGTGCTGGCGACACTCATAGCCGCTATACCCAGTGCCGTCATCACTGTTTTTGGCACTGTGAAGAATGGACTTGGCCAAGATCTCTGGACCCTGACACCGACGGAGATCACTCAGATGCTGCAATATTTCTACATCATGGCCTGGCTCTACTTCACGCAGCTTATGCTGTTGAAACTCACGCTACTGTTCTTCTACATCCGCGTGTTCCCCAGCAAAGGCGTTCAACGACTACTATGGGGTACAATCGTCTTCACCATACTCTGGGGTGTCGCCTTCATCATCGTCGCGATATTTCAATGCCAGCCCATCCAGTACTTCTGGACAAAATGGGATGGCATGCACGAAGGTACTTGTCTCGAAATCAACGCCATCACTGCATCGAACGCGGCCATATCCATCGCCTTGGACTTCTGGATTCTGGGTGTACCTCTTTGGCAGCTTTGGGGCTTGAAGCTACACTGGAAGAAGAAGGTCGGTGTAGCGCTTATGTTCTGCGTTGGTACCTTCGTCACCGTCGTCAGCATTCTGCGTTTACAAGCCTTGGTTCACTTTGCCGCTTCCTCGAACGTGAGCTGGGAGTTTTACGACGTCTCGATGTGGAGCACGATTGAAATCTGTGTCGGCATCATGTGGTAAGTTCTATACTCGTTCTCATATATCGCATCCATTAATGTTCCTACCAGCGCCTGCCTCCCGACCCTCCGTCTTCTCCTGGTCAGACTCTTCCCCATTTTGGGCGGCTCATCGGCACGCAGCCGTCAATACTACAACTACGGCAGCAACAACGAACTCAGGAACGTCAGTCAAAAGCACAAGTCGTACAACTTGAACACGGCTATATCGAGCCCTCGTTCAGAGTCGTTCGATACGAAAGTGGAAGATGGCATCAGAGTCAAGACCTCGTATCACGTGAAGCACAGCCATAGTCAAGGAGACACAGATGAGGCTAGCTTGGTTAGCTATGAGGGGAAACGGAGGCCATAGTTTTGCATCCGATATAGTAATGATCATGAGTATTTCGCACCACCTCACGTTCCCCGCACAAACACATGCTACCTAGGTACTTTGAATACTGCGTCTGCCGGTGCTGAAACCTATTCGAGACGAACTTTACCTTCAAACAGCCACTTGCCAAACGTAACTTTCCACACGCCTGGTAACTGCCGTGATCGACAGGTGCTGAAGCACCCACCTCTCGCGATTTCGGTTGACCCATCAAAGGGTAACGCAGATCACCGGAGTATCACCGACATCCTCGTGGAAGATCACACTAGTTCCACGTGTCGGCGATCTCTGTACGCGGTTGCGACAAGGTCTAAACGACGAACGGTCGGTGGCCTTATTCATTGCACCATCTCAGTATCACGATAATTTCCATCACGGCGAGAGGTTCCGTAATTGGCGTCTCTCAGGCATCCCTTCAAGTGCTGCCGTCCCCACAACACGAATCATCCCGTATCCGCAATGATGGCAAACCCGGCCGAGCTGCGACGAGCTTTCGCGGTGGAATAAGACCGACGAGTCGTAAGTCTGCGATAGTTTGTGGTACGGCAGAGCTACGGGTCCGATGTGGGCCCGATCTCTGGGTACCTAGGTAGCCGATTGTCGGCTGTGCGCAGATGGAGGCTGTTAGCAACGAGTACTTACTGCTAGCGATGGCACTTGTCTTCTGGAAGAAAGACTAGTTGAGGAGAGGATTACTCGAATTTAGCCTGGTTCATTTTCAACGTACACCACCGTATCGGCCGACTTACCAAGTTTTGTGGCTGATGGCACGTGCCCTGGAATTACGTTGCAGTGGCTGAAGTGGCCTTGGTGATGTCGCATTCAACGAGCAAGGCGCTTGCCGACGTTGCGCTCACAATTTCGGATCGAATGAAGACTTTGCGCTGCGAAAGTTGGAAACACGAAAATGCAAAACCCGGTCTCTGGCGTACCTAGTACCGGGTAAGAATGTCGTCATCAACGTCGCAGCGGTGATTGTGCAATGCATTGCGTCTTTGAATAACGCCGAAAGTTTGCGCGCACGCATGCATGTCCTCAACCCGCACATCTAGCAATTGCGACTTGTGACGATGTGTCGGGCGATCAAATGTGATAACCTCACGCGTAGGTCTAACTCATCTGCACTACCTAGGTAAGTGTCTGGAGTAACACGTTTCACGTGTCAACCAAACTTCACAAAGCAGCTAAAGAACTTACAGGAAACTGCCGAAAGCATGTATCGCATGTCGGTATTCCAGCGAGCCTAGAAGGAAGATCTTATCGGCTCCTACTTAGTGCGGCTCCCGCTCTCACATGACCTCGGGATTAAGAAATTGACTTTAACTACTGCTCCTCGACGCAGATCTCGCGGTATACGAACGCGACACTTTAGTAAAATCCTCAACATTGAGCCCATACTACCGTTTGCGAAACCTGAAGATAGCGCTGATAACCGAACGCCAGCAGTACTGGCATATGTCTTATGGTGCAGTATACGAAGATCAACGATGATGTGGAGAGAGTGGACAGCACCAGACAACGTGCAGGAAAGAAGTGATAAGAACTCGGAAAAGGAGCAGGCTTAGGGTACGTGGAAGAAACGCCGCACCTCGAACGGGATCTTTCACCAGCCGGTAGAGAGGCTTCATCTCAGAGAGAAAACTCGCTTTCGCGATACTGATATTCTCCAAATGTTATCGCCATCGTCGCGCCAAGCTGCTGAACTTCCTCGCATGTTCCTAAATCACTGTAAACCCGCAATTCTCAGCTACGGCGTTTACTGAAAGGAAAAGAATGTTGCAAAGCTGCGCTTTAGACATATTTGTAATAACATAACATCTACGGGGACAGTGAGCACCACAAAGACGCTCACCTCACGTTTGCGTCTAGCCGTGTGCCGCTTTAGGCAGGTCTACTCTTCTCACTTTCATCGCAAAAATTCATCTTTGCTGCTTTCTACTGCATTACCTTTCCACCATTGGTGCACAACCCACGATACGCTCTCATCCAGCAACATGGCTCCATTGCGCACGCCATCACAGGGAGAATCGTCATCTACTGCGGGTTCTTCTCTTGCTGTCCGTCATGGGGTGCAGTCCACTCGTCCAACAGCCATCGCTCACGAACTCGTATGTATATCTTACACGATCAGTCCCCATCAAAAGTTGCTCATGATGTGCAGAACAAAACCTACTCGGATATTCGCGCCACTGCCGCCGTTTACAGTGGGCCTATCTCAAAGATGCAGGTCCAAATGAAAGAACTCGCAATTGAACACAGCAGACTATTCGAGGAGAAGGACGCAACTATCGCAGATCTAGAGCTTGAAGTCCACGAACTGAAAAGCCAGAACAAGGATCTCTCATGCAGTCTGAACAAAGAGGCCAACACTCGAAAAGTGGCGGTCGCAGGTATCGAAACTCTCACAAAACAGCATGAAATTTAAGGCAAGAATGTCATGAAGCTCAGCAGTAGGGTTGCCGAGCTCGGGAATGAGTTGGCTCAAGAGAAAGCCAAGCATACCGCAGATAAAGGCGCGAACGAGAAGTTGCGTAGTATCACGGAAAAGTGCGCCGAGATTGCAAGGCTTGTGGCGCAACACCCGTAGATGGAAATCTACCCGTGTTTAGGGAATGGCTGGATGGACAAAAGCGAGCTGCGAATCACAGAACCTGATGATGAGTACAAGGGTATGACTTCAGGTGGTCCCGGGCGGATTGCAATCTTAGGCATACAAGATACTGTTGGTTGGCGTATAGTTTGAAGCTCCAATCTCACCTTCACTTCTGCCTCCGCCATCATACCGCCATTGCAGACCCCGTCCACTCCGTTTGCAGCATCTCAACCTAACTTCTACCTTCCACTAGAGCTGCAGCCTAAACATGATCTCTCGTACCTCGTCTCCCGACAATATCGCAATCTCTCAGAAATGTCGAACAACCGCTCGCCCTCGTATGCGCAATGGTAACGACAAGACAAAACAATCGCGGTCGCAATCCATCTTTTCGAGAGCTTTTCCCCCGTCGCAATATCCGCCCACCTACATCGACAAGCACCGTAAGTGAATGCAACAATACATAAAAGAAGCATGCTGATAAGCCACAAGCCACGTTCTACAGCACACGCTGCTGCCGCAAGATCGTCACTCACCGCGTTGGTCAAAGACCTAAGGGCGCAGGAACGGGAGGTTCTCAGTCTAAGCAGCGCGCTCGATAAAGAGCGGTTGGAGCATGAGAAGCACATTGAAGACCTAGAAACAACACACGCGAAAGAGATCGCGGCCGTCAATGAGCATCACGATCGCCATCTTGCGCAGATCGAAGTGCGTCACAGCGAAGAGCTCACGCGCGTCAAGTTGTGGTGTGTGATGAACCAACCAAGGCCAAACGAATTATCACGGGTTCGCGAAAGGCAGCGGAGGTCAACATTGGAAGCCGAAGTGGAGAAGACAAAAGAAGAGGCGAAGATGAGAGCTCTTTGGCAAGAAACTAGAATACAGGAACTGGAGCGTGAGAACGACCAAGTCAAGCATCAACTGGCAAATTTGCAAAGGGATTCACAATGGAAGAACTGGATGAAGACAATAATGTCATAATGCCTGCCCGTCCTCCCGGCGAGTGCCGACTCAAACCCCCGAAGGGGTGAGTCAAGGTCTCAAACCGGGAGGACTAAGACAAGAGTAAAAAGCTAGCTACAAGAAAGGAAACGTATACAAAACAAAGTACAACAAAAAACGATGCAGCGAATGCAGACCCATGGGTATCGTCGCGATAAACACCAAATCAAAACCAAAACCAAAGCCAACCCAGAAACTCCAATGCGCAAAACGTGATGAGAGCCAAAATAAACGCCCAGTACCCAAGATGCATCTTCCCATGCTCTCGAGTTGTCGCTGAAAAACCAAATGCGCAACACCGTGTCGTGTGGAATCGTAAATGCGGAGTCGTGTCTTTTTCTTCTTCCCCTTCTAGTCGATGGAGTATTCTAGAATTATACCGCAATGAAGGACAAGTCGTCGTAATCATCAGAGAGCATGGACAGGTGGACGAAGTCCTCCTCGGCTTGCTCCAAAGCCACCTTATGACTGTGTGCGCGCTCCTCCCAGCCTAGGCTGATGCCACTGAGTTCGATAGCCGACATCTTAGGTCGGCCAGTACCATGTGCGTTCGAGATTTGATATGTTGGGTTCTCCTCGAGCACTGGGCTTGATGGCTCAAAAACGAGGAATTCATCATCGTCATCGAGGTAAAGCCTCTCATAGCATTTCCTCCAATTTCTGTCGACATGCTTGTAGGTGTCCAGACTGATCAACGTCTGGCGCACGTTCCATTTGAATGCCCAGCTGTTTTCGCGCTTGCGCAGCCAATGGTTCTCATTGTCGAGGGCTTCGAGCATAGTCCTGAGCTTGCTGGGATGAGCGAGCGGGTCGTCCTCTTCCCGAGGTTGCTCGACTGGAGCGGCAATGGTCTCCATGGCGTGTCCTGCGTCGTTTTGCGCATGCTCGTCGGCATTGGCCAGGCGCTCTCTCAAAACCTCAATCTCCATCATCTGGGATCGATTCAGAGCCTGAAGATCCATGATCTTATCATGACGTGTCGTGAGCTCTTCTTGGAGAGCCTCGAGACCTTCGGTCTTGCTGGTAGCGTCCTTGATCTTGGCCATCAAGTGCTCAATCTCCAATTCTTTGGTGGCGATGACTTGCTCTCGCTCGTGAATCTTCAGAACGGTTGCACGATGCTCGACGGTAAGAGTTTGTAACTGGCGCACAGCCTCGTCGTCCTTCTTCCGTCCCGCCTCAACCTCCTTCGCCTTCTGAGCCCAGGGCGTAGGTCCGTGCTCGATCTCGATGGCTTTTGATAGTATGCCGGCTTGGTCGGCCCAGGAATTCAGATGGTAAGTGATGGTGTTCAGGTGGGCAAACATGAAAGCATAATTCTGATCGACATCGAGATTATCGATGTTGTCTTTGATCGCGCGAAGCTCAAGAGCAGGGACTGGCTCGGTGTCGGATAGGCTGGTGCACTTCGCAACCTCCTCGATCAGGCTGCGAACGAAAGCGGCAAGGGTTCCAGCAGCCGATGCCAGCTTTTCGTCGTATCTGAAAGCGTCCTCGAAATCAGATGGTCGTTCCGGAAACATATTATCCTGAACCAGAGCCTTCAGAGTCCGTTGCAACCTGGCCGCAGCCGTGGATGTAGCCTGCAAAGTATCGACTGGCTCGTTGAAATGAATGAGCATCTTTGCGCACTCTTCGCGTATGCTCTCGGGCACTTTCTCTAGGACGAAGTGTGCCAGATCGTAGATGTAGAGGATATAGTTTATCCTCGCGTGGAGCGAAGTCGCTATGGAGAGGAATTCTCCCTCTGGTCGTGCAGCAAGGACCTCTTGGTGGCTTGACAGAATTGCTTCATGTGTCTTGGTCGATCGCTCCAAGGACCCAGCAAATTCTTCAAAGTTGAGTGTGTCTGCTTTGAGAGCGTTGAGGCCTTGATCAAGAACCTGCTCTACCGAGATCAATTCTTGGTACGTCGGGCCAAAATTGGCGAATTCGGGAAGTGATAAGCCACGAATGGCAGACCAAAGACGGTTGCTTCCGTCTTTAAGGACCTCCAGGTGAACAATGGACTCTTCACAGACGAGTCTGGAGACGGCATCGTCCAATCGACCGCCATTGCTCATGTGACGACAGGTGCTCCTCAACACATTGACAAGCAGCTTGGATTTCCCAGCGATCCTTTCTGTTGCGAGGTAGGCTTGGAGAGACTCGCTTCGAGTGAACTCCTTGGACTCTGTCTCGTTCCAAATCTCGAGCTTTTCAGCAAGCTGATCTGCCTTGAGCGATACCAGCGAAGACTCAATCTCTCGTGTGGTCGACAACACAGTGGCTGCACGAAGTTGGCGGTTAAGGTCCATCACTTCGTTGAAGCGACCGGTGGTATCCTTGACTTGGGCTTCCGTCATAGTCTTGGAAGACTCAGCGTCGGCCATTTTGGTTTGTAGGTCCATGACGAGGTCTCGGAATTTGGAGATGAGAGACTCTTGGTCGGCGATGATGTGGGTCTGTTCGGTAATCTGGCGTACTTGCTCAGCGAGCTCGTTGTTCTTAGCGTCAAGCTCTGCAAGCATGTCCTCTTCTTGCTCAAGGTGTTGAGCTTCTAGCTCGTCGTTGAGTTCCCGTAGGTTCTCAAGATCTTGTACGACCAGATCTTGCTCCGCGATTCTATCTTGGAGATTCTGGTTTTGTTGGGTCAACTCCTCGACCATCTCCTCCCATTCATTGGCAGCGTCCAACTGCTGTTTCAGGTGGTCGACAAGATTTTCGGATACAGAGAGACGTTCTTGGAGATTGGCATTGTCTTGTCGGTAGTACTCAAGTTGTGCGACGTCGCCCTCGAGCCCGAGAATGTGTGCCTTGAAGTCTTGTTCCCGCTCCTCTGTCATCTCTTTCAGAGTGATCAACGCCTGTCGCATGCGATCATTCTCGTGTTGGAGACGGTAGTATCCAGCCTCTTGCTTCTGATCCTCTGACATTTCTGTTGTGAAGAGATCGGCCTCATCGCGAAGAATGTCAAGCTCCAGCGTCTGTTCTTCCAGGCGTTTGCGCAACGACTCGATTTCTGCCTCGGCTTGATCCGCCCTCTCCTCGGCCATCTCCTTGTCCACCAAGGCATCCTCCAAGTCCACCTCGTGGTCCTGGTGTGATCTGTTGAGAGCCTGTTGTTCCAACTGAAGTGTGTTCACTCTATCTTTCAGCTCTTGTATCTCGGTGTATTGAGCTTGACACTTGTTCTGGAGCCGCTGGATGATGCCGCTGTAGCGCTCTTTCTCGTCGCGAACCTGAGCATACTCTCTCAGGCGCTCTTGGTCTTCCGCGTGTTGCTTCTCGAGATGCCTAATCTTGGTGTGCAGATTGTCGACGTTGTTATCCCGACTTGCTTTGCCAGCATTGCTTGTGACTGAAGATGCAAGACTCGGTCTTGAGGTTGATGGTGTAGGACGAGAGGGTTCGGGACGAGAAGGTTCTGGGCGGGAGGATTCGGGTCGAGAGAATGGGGCGCGAGATGATTCAGCGGCAGAGTTGCTTGACGTGCTCGCCACGCTGGCCTTGCGGACTGGGCCACGCGAAGGCGGTTGTGATGTTGAGGGAGCTGCGACTGACTGCCGCTTGCTCAATGTGGTTGTCCTTGTAGTGGTTGTAGGCTTAGGGGCAACCACGCTTGATGGGCGGGCTCTGGGTGTGGTGGGTGGTGCCTTTGTTTTGGAGACCGCTCGTGGAGTAGGAGGAGCCGGTGCGGGGGCTGCCTCAGAGAGGATGCTGACAATGCTAGTGTCGCGGATGAACAGCCCGTGGAGAGGTGCGCAAGTGAAGTAACGCTCTCCGCGTACGGAGCCATCGTTCTTGCCATCAGCAGTTGGGAGTTCTATTCCCACAAATCGCCCCTCTGAGACGTGAATGGGGCCTAGGTAGCGGACGATGCCGTCTACACCGCCAGAAGTCTCGACCGTCTGGCCGAGCTTGAGATTGAGGGTAGTCATGGCTACTGGAGACTACCCAGGAGCAATGCTGAGAGTGTGGAGAGAAGCAGTGGCAGACAGCGTGGTGACTGAGTGCAGTGTGGTTACCTGATGCGACGCGTCGAGAAGCAGCTGCGCGTGAGGGGGAGAGCAATTGCGAACAATTGACTCAGCTGAAGTGTGAAGAGTGCAGAGCAGAAGAAGAAGCAGATACGCAACAATGCAGTAGCAGCGGCTTGAGAGTGTTGTGGGAAGTGGGAAGTGGCATGGGGCAGCTGCAGAAAGTGTGGTGTACAGGTGAGAAGGGAGGAGCGAGGTGGCCGGCTTTTACGTGAGGGCTGGCTTGGCGCGGCGATGGCTCGGATCAAGGCGCTAAACCTCGGACGCGTCTCGGATGAGCTGCTGTTCGCGCTAATGGACCCTGAGGGGCGGGAGCACCCGACGCTAGCCCATCTGAGCGCGTTTGAGCGCGCTCAACCGCGACTTTCGTTTTAACATGACGCCCATGAGGCCACTTTCGCCCTTTCCCAGCCACCCTATACACAGATGGGGTAAGCCTTGAGGCAGTTTCCTGCCGGAAATCCGCAACCACGCCACTCGACGCGTCTGAGTTTTGCTACCGCGTACATTCCGTGTCACGCCTCTTGCGATGTTTATTATATAACAATGTTGTCCATGAGAGGTGTTCCTTTCTCATTTGATGTTCCGCTATGATTATACCGCCACCTGTTTACTGTTGTTTCTGAGTATCCTTGCGCGTCGTGCGCCCACATGTGCAAGATGCCTTCTACACCTGCGCGCTGCATCACTCTCAAGCTGCTGCTGCCGCCTTCTGCCTCAACATCGCAGATGCAAAGCCCTTAGTATCGTGCATATCACCGCCAACTATTTGCATATAGATGAATCCGTGCCTAATCAGCGTTAGATGTGTGTATGCATTATCTTGTGGTATATCACGCGGTGAGCTTACGAAGCTATGCACTCTCGTTGCAGTGCGCGATTTCATACATTCTATGCAAGATATGATATAACTACGCATAGATCCGCGGCTACCACATGCCAGCGCCCATTAAACTTGTC